TTATCCGGAGGGCTCGATTATCCGGAGTGAAATTTTTTTCAAGACTCCGGATAATCGAGTCCGCCCTGTATTGATGATGCACATTTTGGCAGAGGTTTCAAAGACTACGGCTTTATGATTCCAGGACTGTATTGCTCACGAATGAAAACTGAAGTTTTTGATGGTAGTTTTTCTCTTCCTTTGCATCGCGTTTCACTTGCGACTTTGGAGAGAAATAATCATTGAGAAGTTACAGTTTTCACAAAGTTTAAACCGAGATCATTGACTAGTCAAATATATAAATTTACTGCTCTATCAGAACAATTCAAACTAGAATTCGCAACTCGTGTCAACTTATTTATATAAGATGCTGAAATTAAATCATACATTTGAAGCGGTTAAGATTCTAATCCTCACCGATTTTGCTTGATTGGTCAAATCTAGAACAGACTTAAAACTAAAAATAGGTCTAATCAGCACTTTCCAATGCATGATAATTATAAGAGTCAATGCCAAAACTGCTAATAGAATGCTAAATTAACCATCGAAAGAACACACCCTTGGCAATTCGTAATAAAGCACGCCAAATAACGAGTTCATTTCTCCGGATCATATCGGAAATATCTTTTCCTGATTTGTCAACTTTATTGCCCACGATAGTAGAGACCACGCATATAAGAGTAATTCATACTGAAAAGAAGAACACACGGATTAATGAGTATTTGATGCAAGAATACAAAAAATAAAATACGGATAGGATTACCCTGACACTCTGACAGATGATGAATGTTTATACTGATTTAATTTTTAATTTCTTGACGAATGTGAGACTACTTTGATCACTTTTGAGTAAATATGAGTTACTCAAATTTGCTCACTGTGAAAATATTAACTCTGAGTACAGCCGTCTTGCCCCTAGGGAAATCCTGTCGATAGTTTCAAAAGTTGGTAGAGCAGTTCAAGGCTATTATTAGAGAATACTTAGGAAATGCTGAGGAGAACTCTAGAGTGAAATTTCAAGCGGATTCTGGGATGAATTCGGTGGGGGCATACTTAAATGGCGTAGCAAATGTTTGACCAATTTTTCACTCTACCCTTGCAAAGTCCCTTGCGCTGAACTGGTCGGTTGGACGTATTGCAAGGACTCAGTATGGGATCCTACTTGTCGAGACCTGAAGCTAAGAGCTAGTTCCACAGTGACAATATCACACCATTTATTGTATTAACTCATTCATTAATTGACAGCATGATTTAAAAATGGGTTGGGTAGTACTCAAATGAATATCATTAAAATTTAACTTGAACTTATATATTTTTCAAAAACTTATTCTAAATTTCGGGGCAGCAAGGTTCACTAGTCTAGATATCGACATAAGGTTCGTTTAGCAACATATAAGCATGCATGAGCACTATTGCCCGTTCGACTGAAGTCCGATGCAAAGTTTTGGCTGGAAACGCTTTTTATCTTACTTTCCAAGTGTAATCGCGCATCGGAGCACACTCGCGATTTCGGATTGGTGGTGCAAGGGAAATGCTTAAAAATAAATGTTAAAAAAAAAAGTTTGGGCAAAACTTGGCAATGCACTTCATATTCAATGAAATTTTATTGGAAATTTAAGGAAAAATAGTTCATCAGTTCACTGAGAATTCAAACAACGTAAACAAACAAACTCGTTACGTAGATAACGATAAAGTTACGCACATAGCTGGAACATTTTGCCCCGCGGCAAGTGTTGGCAGTTAAACAAAACAAATCACGTTGCCAAATCTACAGATAATATTTCCGCGTGTGTGTAGGATTAGTTGTTTCTACCTACACTAATTGCTGTAGCGCAGCCGGTGGTGTAGTGGTAAGCGTGATTACCTCTCACCCCAGCAGGCCTGGGTTCAATCCCAGTCGGCGCCGCCGGGATGTTCTGAGGCAGGCATAACATCTCTGATCACGCCATTCGGAAGGGAAGTAAAGCCGTTGGTCCCCGGTCCCCGGTCCCCGCTCCAGGAGTGGGAGCTGCCTCCCTGGCGTCCTTAGCATTGGTGCTCAGCACGGAAAACAAGATCGCCGGAAAACAAATCAAGGAAAAAAACACTAATTGCTATATCAATGTACGTATTTCGATTCGAACATCCATTATGGTATGATGATGATGTAGTGGTATGATTGATGACATCCCATTAGTCATCAATACGTTAGCCACACGGACGTTTTCCATACGGATAAGTACCAGAATGGACGTTAGCCATACTGCTATTTTCGTATTTTGACGTTGGCCATAGTGTACGATAACCATAAGGGACATTTGCCATAATTCTTATAATCGAATTTACTAACATAATTCAAATACATGTTTGCTGTTGGATGTATGGTTGCCATAATTAATTGTTAATTCACATTTTATAATTGGTGATTGTGAAAAATGAAATATTAAAAAAAAAACTATATTAAAGAAATTCTGCAGGATGAAACAAACTTGATAAACCGTTGTTTTTCGCAACATATTTGACTTTTGGGTGTAGAAAGCGTCAATTCCAAGTGAGAGGAGTGGTTCTAGAGTATTTTAGAAAAATCTCAATAGTATTGATCAGTCAAAGAACAGTTCATGATATATAGAAGGAATAAACTCCAAGAGAAAAATAATTTGTGAATATGTTTCAAATTGAATGTTTCATAAAAAACAGCTTATGCTGTAAAGAAGCAGTCAACTCCAAGAGAGATGTTACTTTTGAGCATTTTCAATTGGAGTTTTCAAACTATTTTCGCTGTCAAAGAACAGCTCATGCTGCAAAGAAGGAGTCAACTCCAAGAGAAAAATAATTTGTAATTATTTCAAAAGAATTTTTAAAACTAATTTATTTAAAAACTGCTCATCGTATAAAGAAGAAGTCAACTTAAAGAAGAAAAAATAATTTGCGTATATTTTAATTGAATTTTCTATACAAGAAAAATTTCAATTAACAGGTCATGCAGTAAAAAAGTAGTCAACTCGAAAAAAAAATTGTGAATATTTCAATTGAATTTTTTTAAACTATTTTATTTTTCCAAAGAACTGTTCATCATATTAAGAAGGAATCAACTTGCTTAATTTGTGAATATTTTAATTGAATTTTTCATAAATAAAAATTGCCAAAAAATAGCTCATGCTGAAAGAAGAAGACAAATCCAAGAAAAATGTTACTTTTGAGAATTTCCAGTAGTAGAAAGAAGGAGTCAACTCAAAGCAAGAAATGATTTGTGCATTTCCATTGCATTTTTCTAAAAAGAAAAATTATTTTTGAGTACAGTATCCGTTCGACTTTGGTATGGTTCGCTTTTGGCAACAAAACTACAAAGACGTTCAATTTTGGGACGGTGTTCTGTTAAACGGATTTTGAAGATTATGTATTTCCACTCCATGCGATCACAATTTTTAATAAAATTAAAATTATTAAAATCATCGGAACCATAAAAGAAATTTTAAAAATAAAATCGTTTGGTTTTGGCAACACTACATTTTGGGGCCTGTTAACAGATTATAAAGTAATTGATAGGAAGTCCGCTATACTCGTTTAAAACAAATTTCCGGAGCGCAATCGAATCATAGTTTTAAGGCACAAAATTAAAATTACATTCAGGATTGCAATTGCTCATTACAGCTAAAATGCTATTTTTCGGTATTATGAAACAATGGGATATTATAATGATAGTTTTTATTTGTAAGATGCAAGAAGAGGTGGTTAAGTTTGTATATGACACATAAAATTTGTCAATTTTGCTTTCAGAAGGTCACATTTGCAAGCTTGATTACATTATTGTGGAACGACTTTCGTTTTCGGAAGAAGAAACACATGTAAAACTGTAAAATTATCTCTAGAAAACTAAAGTGTTACTGTTACGTAGAATAAAGCAATACACAATGTATAAATGACAATTAAAAGACGAATTTTATATTATAGCATGAATTTTCTTTGTTTAATTTTAATTGTTTGCTGCACATATTGTCAGAAATCTTTAACTAACTTCCAATTAAAATAAGAACGAATCGGAAATCGAACCTACCGCCTCCGGCTTGGTAATACATATCATAACTTTGCTGACAAGGCTAGAAGATAAACTACTTTCATGCTAAAAAGAGTAATTATGTCTTAGGTAATTTTTAATTAATAAAAACGCATGAAAGTTCAGACTTGATATGTTCAAAAAATATATCTTTAAAATGACAGAAGAAAGAAAACGCCTTTTTGAATTTTTGATATGTTATGTAAAAAAGTATGAGCATAAAAAATATATATATATATAAAACACTGGAATTACTTTGGTCTCGGTACTGTGGAATCCATAACAATAAAAAAAATGGTTTAGTATATTAAAACTAATATTAGACTGATGCAAAATTTGAAATTTTCGCTCCACAGTGCTTAAACGGTTCCAACTTGGGTCCTGCTTAGCCTCCCAAAATTTGAACTTCTTTAGTAAGAAACTGACTTGGCACAAACCATTTCAAGTTTATATGGGAATCGCATATCAGTCCCATATGGATAGGAAATCAAGCAAAGATGGGACTGATATGCGATTATGGGTAGTATATATATATATATGCAAAAGTGTCAATTTTTTGGACCACGTTAAGGGCGAAATAACAAAATACGGGTCTAAAATTTGTCAATAAGTAACAAATATACAAGGTTTGAGCGAAATCGGAGCAAATTATTTTTTTCGGTGGTACTTTTTTCATGGAATTGCTGATAACAATCACTTTAAAACGTCAATGGACATTTGTCACTTGTTCAGGATTAGATTTTGTGAGCTTCAGCGTGAGAGACATGAATGCTAATCACTACGCCAGATCAGAATTTTTTTTTGATAACCTTCATTACCAGGCGGGTTCTTCCTCGTTATTGGTCTTAGCTTCAAACTAGTTAAAGCCTCTATCTAATTTAAGGCCCTTTTCCGGAGCACTTAAAAGAAATAGTATCAAGTTTATCCGACCCATCCAAAAATATTATTTATTAGTGCCCAGTGTCCCCAACCCATCGAAAAAGTTTACCTCGTTTTGCCTTACGGTTTGTCCTAAGCTTAGAAGTAGATGCGCCGCTTCCTCGTTGTTGTTCGTACTACTACTACTGCTGCTGCTGTTGCTGTTTTGGTGATGGTGGTTACCAGGTGAAGGAGGAATGGCACCCATCCCGAGCGAAGATCCTGGACCAAGTTGGCCCTGCGATGCAACCGCCAACGCGCTTGCCGACGAGAGCTGTGGAATTGGTGGTGTGGTGGTTTGTACTTGCGGTGGAGAGTCATAGCTCCAGACCATAGTCCTTACACCGCACGACTCGCCCATGATGACCGTCGGAGTGTTACGAGGTGGCGTTTGCGAGGCGATAGGACTGGGACTTTGATGATGCTGCGGGGACTGCTGTGGTGACATTTGGCTTCGTAGTGGTGGTAGAGGACCACCGATCACTTCTGGCTTAACTCCGTTGATACGCTGTTGACCGCCAGGCCAAACGGAAATCCTATGCCCCATACCGGGGGGTTGCTGTTGCATGAGATTTGGTACTTGTGCTTCATTTTTTACTCGAAATAATATGGCAGCGTCCCTCATGGGATGACGTATCTGCATAGCAGGATTCTGCGGAGATGTGGTAGGACTGACTTGAATAGGACTTGGTAACCGTTGGTTGTTTGGTGATAGTTGCATAGCTTGATTGGCCATGGTTTGACTGGGTTGTTGGCGTTCACGTTTGATGATGATGTGCGGAGATTGGCCCATATTCGTGGAACCCACATGAACTGGACTTTGCTGTCTGTTTTGATGCTGTTGACTTGGAGACATTGGTGGTTGCATCGGTGACGTGCTATTACAGACTTGAACAGGACTGGTGGGTGGTTGCCTTTGGTGATTAGCGGGGCCAGCCATCGAAACTGGTGGCATGTTAACAATTGTGTGACTCTGACCAGGTAGCGGTCGCTCACGTTTCACATATAGCTGTTGTTGCGGGTTAGGAATCATATGAATGTTTTGTTGCCGTAATTGACCACCCGGTAATAGTGACATGTTGGCATTTTGATTCACTATCGTGTATTGGGGCATGCGTTCCTTTTTTATTCGGATTTGCTGCTGCATAGCTTGTAGCATCTGCTGCTGAGCGAGATGTTGCTGCTGCTGGTGGATGTTTGAATTGTTTGATGAAGATTGACTAGATGAAAATTTGGACATGCCACCCGACGGAGGCTGTTGAAACATCTGAAGTTGAACGGGATGCTGGTTTGCTTGACTTGGCGATGCACTTGATATTGATGACGAATTCGACGATGAAGTTGAATATGACGACGATGATGAAGGTGACGACGACGTTGAACTCTGCGGTGTCGATGTAAGTCTATTAGGCTCTTCGTTCTTATTACTACTGTTACAGTTATTATTACTATTCGTGCTACTACTGTTGGTGTTGCTGCTGCTGTTGTTGTTGGTATTTGCTAGATTAATTGACGGTGGAGCTTGTTTTCGCATCCCTAGCGTTACCAACGTCGTCGGATGATCTGGTTTCATTCGAGATGGGGTGACTAGTACAGTCACATGCTGCTGCTGCTGTTGCTGCTGCTGTTGTTGCTGCTGCTGTTGCTGCTGTTGCTGCAGCTGCTGCTGTTGCTGCTGCTGCTGCTGTTGTTGTTGTTGTTGTTGTTGTTGCTGCTGTTGCTGTTGTTGTTGCTGTTGCTGCTGTTGCTGCTGTTGCTGTTGTTGTTGTTGTTGTTGTTGTTGTTGTTGTTGTTGATGTTGTTGTTGTTGTTGTTGTTGTTGTGGTTGTTGTTGTTGTTGTTGTTGTTGTTGTTGTTGTTGATGTTGTTGATGATGATGCTGATGATGGCCTGCTCCACTATGGCCACCTCCGATGGAACTGCCACTAGTGCTGCTGGTCGCACTGTAGTGTTGCTGCAGCAGTTGAATGGAATTCATTAGCGCTAAGTTATGGCTGTTTGGCGGACTTGAAGACCGGGGACGCTCATCCGCCACCGAACGTATCACACTAGCGCCCCCACCGCAATTGGAGGAATTGGGAAGCATACCCGGCGTACTACCGCCGGGATCCGAAGGTTTCAGTCTCGAAGGTGGACGTTCATCAATCAGCAAACCTGGCGAATCAGGTGATGCCCTTTCACTGTCGCCATCATCGTCCTTCAGCACGCTACCATCGTGCACTAACTTTGGTGACGTCAAACAGTCATTATTGTTATTATTGTTGCTTGTTAACGTGTTGTTGTTTTCCACATTATTGCTAAGGTGATGGTGATGATGATGATGATGCTGGTGCTGTTGCTGATGGTGGTGGTGGCTTGAAGGATGCTGGAGATGGTGGTGGTGATGATTTGCAGCAGCCGTCGGAGCTGGTGAGGCATCCTCTAGTTCGGCGTGGTCCTCCAGCTCCAGCTGGCCGGCCGACTGCTGCTGATCGCACATCTTGGGAGACAGGGGCTGCAAAAGGTCAGGTGATGAAGTGCTGGTGTCCGCTATAGACTCCCCATCGCTGCTACATCTTGAGTCAACTTTTCTTCGTTTCAGCTTCAAATCTTGGAAAAGGCTCATTTTATCGAGCTCGCTGTAGGGTCCACGGCTCAGTGTCATAATTCCTGAAAATGAAAAGAGAGAAAAGAACCCTGTTAGCTACGTGGTTTCAATGAAAAATTAACTTATAAATCGTTAAATGAACGATACCTTCCGTCAAGAAAAGCGGAAGTTCAATACTCGACAGAACGTTTCTCGTTAATTGACATTTGATAAGACGTGAGCGATTATCCTCAATGCCAAGCATAGTTTAAGTTTACCCGCGCAATGCAACGTTTTGCATTGTTATTTACAGTACATATTGCGATTAGTGGGGCCCATGCGATAGATTACAAGTCCGTTGAATGTGCGCAATGTGCAAGCGTTGATGGGTTAATCTGTGCCGACTGTCTATATGGTGTGAACACAACCATTAATGAATACCGTCACCAGTTAGTAAGCTAAACTTTGTGCTCGAGGGGATTCCGGTTACTACCGGTACTTGGACATGAGTGGTGCAATTTAGGGTACATCATCGGGTTGACAGTGGACCTGTTCAGGGATTCAGTGACACTTTAAGTGGGTGTATTCCTTTTATTGCTCGAGTGATCTTGGACAGCTCAAGCATCACCCGTAGGTTTATTGCTACAACCCACTAAGGTAAGGGTTGAGTATTATACTGGGAATCTGTAGATATTGGTTCATATTCACCGTTTCAAATGAACTTATCTAGCAGAACAGTGCTTTTTTCATATCGATCAGCGAGTTGTTTCATTATTAGGGGACGATTGAGGCACGCTTGGAAATCACGGGTTCATTGAGGAAAACATTGGATAATGTTGAATGAAATAATAGTAGGTATTACTTCCGATGAATCAGTTTTTGTAAACAATGCATTTGATTGTCGGTTTGGCGTAATTGGTAGCTCGCTCACGCATACTAACGCCACTATCAGGTAGGGGAAAATTTCCCCTATCTGACGGTAGTGTTAGCATGCGTGGGCAAGCTACCAGTTACACCAAAACGACGATCAAATGCATTGTTTACAAAAACTGATACGTCCCTTCGAAAAAGTAATAACTCCGAGAATTGATGAATGCATTTTCTTGGTTCAAATGTGGTGGGCGAATACAATCTATAACGCAACGCATTAAACGCACTGACCGTATTACATTTTCCAAGGATTCAATACTTTTCCAAGCCCTATTCCGGATTTTCGCCCATAATCCCTTGCATATTTATCGTAAGCCCAGATTTGTTATAACAGTGTTGCTCGATAGCAGCGCATGCCGAAGTTGACCATCTGGTAACTTGGACTTGTTGTCACTTTGTTCTCTTATGATCAATTGAGCTGAAATCTTCGCAACAGATCTACAAATATGTCAATTTTACGCCTATCAAATACCAAATATTTTGAAGCACCTGTCGGAAAGTGACAAGGTAAAGTTGATCGAAATGATAGCAGTTTCAAAAATTTAAATTTCAGATCAATTTTGGGTTATGACCCCATAGTTACATAATGACATAGTAAAACTGCTATAAGTTTAGATAATGTTATCTATCTTCAAAATTTCCGGCAGGTGGTTCAAAACAAGGTTGCAAATACTCATTTCAGCTAAAATAATGTTTTTCGGAATAATAAAACCAAAAGATGGTATGATGACATGTTTTACTTGTAACTTACAAGAAGAGGTTACAAAGTATGCGTTTGAAACATAAAACCTTTAAATTTTGCTTTCTATGAGTCACAATCAGCGATTTGTTGATCGCTGAGTGAGTGAGTAAGTGAGTGAGTGAGTGCGTGAAAAATCGCTGATTGTGACTCTCATGAAGTGAAATAAATAGGTTTAATATGTCAAACACATTCTTTGCAACCTCTTCCTGGATCTTACCAATTCAAAATATGATCATAGCATCTAATTATTTCATAAGTAAAAAAAAACCTTGTTTTAGCTGAAATTGAGTATTTGATAATCATTCTAAATACGTATATATTGAAGATTCCTCTTAAAATCTTTAATATTCCTTCAAGCTCTTTCTTCTTTCGGAATTTCTTACTTACAGGATACGAAAAATTAAGCTTGATTTCTAAACAAAAATTAACAATGTCTCAGAGTCTAGAATTTTGATTTTTTCTAATAATTTTAGAACCTTAAAAACTTAACACGTTATCAAATTTTAATATTTCTCTATTTCTGGGATGTTGAACGTCTAGAGAGGCTTTTTCTCACATACCTTTCTGTTAATTCTTATCTGAGAATTCTAGCACCAAAATTATGGACAGTTTTCTTAGATCAGAATATTGAATTTTGTTCTCACTCGAAATCACAGAATCTTAAGAACTCTTGTTATTCCTGGATGTTGTATTTATTTAAATTTCATAAATTGTTGCTTAGGAATTAATCTTTGGAAATATTTGCAAATTATTCTTGGATTTGCTTAGGACCGATCCAGCCTTCAGAGATACTTTTAATTTCAGGATTTGCCTGATTTATTCCTATAAGTTTTCTAGATACTGTTTGCAGAACTCTTCCTCACAGAAAATTCTTAAAATTCACTTTTAATTCACTGTCGTATTCTTCATAATTCTCGCACGAATTTGTTCAACTGATATAATACCGAACCTACAATATGTGTGTTGAGCTGTGACACAACACGCCTGTCCCGTTACCGAGCAGCGAACTTCATCGCAGCATCCGCACGCATTTTGCAGGTTTGATATTATGCCTGTTAATTTCTCTCCGTAATTTTCATTGGATTTCGATCGGAATATTGGTATGCCATTTAGAATTGAGAAATGTATTCTCTCAAAATTTCCTTGCAGTTCACCTAATGTTATGACCTTTAGAAGCACATGAAAATTTCTAATGAACTATCAAATTCTCTTGTAGAAATATTCATAGTTTCTTTGGAAATATGCTCAATATTTCTTGCCAAATCCATCCGAAAACTCCTTGAAATTCTCTAAAAATTCTTATAAATTCTCTTGAAATTATGTTCAAACTAGCCTGAAATTCTGAAGGGAATTTTTGATATATTTTAAGAATAAGATTTCTCTTTGATGGATTGATTAATCACCATTTAAGAGATTTTGATTCATAGGTGATCATTGGGTGTAGCTTTAGGATTGTAGTAATTAAGTTAAGTTTGGGTTAACTCACTTTGAAGGAAAGTTGACTCTGAATTACCTTATTTATTTATTCATTTATGACTAAACATCAATGACGCCGTCATTGGCCCCAATGATGTAACCTAAACTAAAAATGAAAAGTACTAAAACTAAACATCAATAAGAACATAGATAGATAGCGGCACCGATGGTGTAGTGGTAAGCGTGATAGCCTCTCACGCCATTAGGCCTGGGTTCAATCCCAGTCGGCACCGCCGGTATGTTCTGAGGCATAACATCTCTCATCAAGGGAAGTAAAGCCGTTGGTCCCCGGTTCATGAGTTGTGATGGGTCGATAAGTAGGGTCCAGGTGTGGGAGCTGCCTCCATGGCGTCGGTAGCATTGGTGCTTGGCACGGAAAACAAAATCAACGGAAAACAAATCAAGGGAAAAAAAACTACATAGATAGTCATCTCGTAAAAAAGGAACATAACTAGACAAACTAAACTTATTTTCAAAAATTTCGAACTGAACCTCCGGCGAAGCAGCTGGTGAGTCAGGTCAAAGTCAAACAGTGCGGAGACCCTATTGAAAAGTCTCTGTAAACCATCGATGCTATAATAAGTTTGCTCTATGGGCAGACGCAGCATTGAATTATTCCGCAGGGCTTGGGGTTGAACATTGATGTCAACTTGCTCAAGAAGAACAGGGCAATCGGTGCGTCCTTGCAAAATAACCGCAATCAGCAATGCCCTTGCTGTATCTCTTCGAACCGACACTGGCTCCAGATGGATCAGTTGCAAACGACTTTCGTAGCTAGGCAATCGGAAGAGTCCGTCCACGGCAGTTTACGTAGCGCGTATCTCACCAACCGTCGCTGAACAGACTCAACTCTTTCGCCATCGTTGTTGTAGTGAGGAGTCCAGACAAGCAGTATTCTAATAGGGAGCGAGACAAGGAGCAGTACAACGATTTAAGGCAGTAGAGATCCGTGAAGTCTTTGGCAATCCTGAAGATAAACCCTAGAATTATGGAAGCTTTGTCGACGGCATACGAGTTGTGCTGCTTGAAAGAGAGTTGTGTATCCAGAATCACACCTCCCAAGTAACATTTAACGTTTTATGAAGTACTACAAGGCTTCTATAAAACAACATTCATAAAACCCTGGTCAAGATAGCTTTGCCTTTATTACATCTACCAAAACCTAATTAAGACTAGAATCTGTCTAGTTGGTCCACCCTGAAGAAGGTTCTAAAGAGTGCATTATCGAGACATTTCAAGAATGACTTGCTGTTAAACGGTCATTTGACGAATGCATTGAGAATCATTTGAAATCCTTATAAAAGGCATTTAGCACCAATACTTTGCCATTTGCCTTTGACACTTGCTAAGCGCACTGAAAATAAAGCAATCAAGATAAAAAGGGATACATAAATATCGTCCGATCTTGCCAAATTCATTGTTCAAAAATGCATCTGTCAAAAATCCTAATAAATTTCCTCATCATTAAAGTGAAAGAATTACTAAAATTATCGAAACTTACATTGTGGTCTATTTTTAGGTGACAGATTAAATCTAATGTGAAATATGCTTCGGAAAATCGAAAAAAATTAGCCCACCTTAGGACTTATTATTTTTAATTTAGGAAAAAAAATAAAGTTATATGTTAAGTTAATCATTGCTCACAGCCGAGACAATTCGATGATTTTCGTAATTTCTATTACTGCGCATTGATGAATTGATGAGAATAAAGTTATTTAAACGAAAAACCTCTTGAAAAACGAAGATTGTAAAAAAGCAAATGGAATAATAACAATATGGCGATGGCATAAACATTAATTTTCCATAAGCCATTTCTGAAAAAGCTGTTTTGCTTTCATGAAATCGCTAACAAATGCAAGACATTTTAATGCGGCTTTTATGAAGATAATTTGCAGACTGGATTGTTTTTATCTGAAGCCATTTGGCTTGATCCTA